GAGTAGCAGAATTAACTTACCAGTACAAATGATGGTGGTTTTGCCTTCTGTTGTTCTGTATTGTGATGTGCCCATTGAACTTTTTTTTTTTTTTTAATTTTGTTTTGTTTTCTCTGTCCTGCTGGGCCCTACTTGTGGTTTCTTCTTATTTCCCAGTTATTGCCTCAAAGTGCTAGTTAATTGGATTACAGTTCACATTCTCTGCTTGATTCCCAAGAGCCAGAAAGCAGGGCAGTGGAAGCTACCATCTGCTTTCCCCCTGTCCTGTGGATTTCTTTCATCCACAATGAACACAGACCAAAACACGGACCCCTATGTTCAAGAGCTCCCATAATACTTCAAAGCAGTTGTTGAGCTAGCAGGGAGAGAACTGTGGAGCATACAGATAGACATTAAATAGATCAAGCAATWAGCCCATGAAAACAGGGTTAACAAAATCTGACAACTGTTTTATTAATGACAGTGCTGTAAACATGAGGAAAAAAACCCTAAATGCTCTTGTTTCACTATGAACAGTGCAAGACACCATGAGAGCAAATGCTGGCAGAACCTTCTCTGGGACTGGCAGAGGTATACTGATAGGTAGGTCAAAACACGAGTTCTTTTCAGGAATACAGTCGGTTGACAAAGTCATGGCATGTTTGCATATGTTCATAATCAGCTCCTCAGTACCCCTACTTGAAACTTCTGCCCCCCTTCCACTTTCCTTTCAAATGAATGGAAATGAATGAATGAACAGATGTTGAATTATTTTATAATTATATTGAAATCATTTTTTGTTAAATTTCAGAGAGAATAATCCTTGAAACTTCAACTCTATGAACTGTATCATCATGCAACCACTACAAATATTTATTATTTATTATTTATTATTTATTATTTATTATTTATTATTTATTATTTATTATTTATTATTTATTATTTATTACAAATATTTATTCACTAGGCACTGTGAGAAATATCATAGCTTTAACACTGGAAGCCAGTCTTGCACACTGAATGGTGTGGGTGTCATTCAGTTCATCAGGAAGCTCTGGCAGCAGTTTCAGTCTTGGTGAAACTGGAAAGTTTTGAAAATCATTACAGAGGAACACTGTGCATGCCTTGTTTTGCTGTTTGATGTAAAGAAATAGTACCAAACCTTGGCAGTTCTTCTAAACACAACTGTTTTTTTTTTAATGTTTTTTGAAAGGTTAAATAGAGGTCTATAGAGGAATACCTTGTTTTGTTGTGTTTTGCTTTATTGCACTTTGCAGATACTTCATTTTTTTTACAAATTGAGGGTTTGTGGCAGCCTTGCATAAAGCAAGTCTAGCAGCAACCTTCTTTTCCAACAGCACATGCTCACTTTGTGTGTCATGTTTTGGTAATACTCACATATTTCATACTTTGTCATTAATATTATATCTGTTAGGGTGCTCAGTGATCTTTGATATTTATAATTTAAATGTTTTGGGGTGCCACGTCCTGTGCCCACGTCAGATAGAAAGCAACCAATAAATGTCGTGTGCGTTCTGTCTGCTCCAGGGGTGGGATGCTCCCAGTGTGTCTCTCCCCCTCCTCGCGCCCCTCTCTTCCCTGAGATGCAAGAATTTTGAAATTAGGCTAATCAATAACCCTACCATGGTCCCTGGGGAAAGTGAAAAGGAAGAGCCTCACACTTCTCACATTATATCAAAAGCTAGAGATGATGAAGCTTAGCGAAGAGGGCAAGTTAAAAGCCGAGATGGACCAAAAGCTAGGACTTTTGCACCAAGCCATTAGCCAAACTGTGAATGCAAAGGAAAAGCTCTTGAAGGAAATTAAAAGTACTACTGCAGCACACACAAATGATAAGAAAGTGAAAGCAGCCTTACTGCAGACATGGAGAAAGTTTCAGTGGCCTGGACAGAAAGATCAAACCAAGCACAACATTCCCTTAAGCCAAAGCCTAATCAAGAGCAAAGCTTTAACTCTTCAATTCTAAGAAGTCTGGAAGAGGTGAGGAAGTTGCAGAAGAAAACTTTGAAACTATGAGGTTTAAGGAAAGAAGCTAGAACGTAGAAGTGTAAGGTGAAGAAGCATCAAGTGCTGATGTAGAAGCTACAGCAAGTTATCCAGAAGATCTAAACAAGGTAATTGCTGAATTTGGCTACACTAACAAACAGATTTTCAGTGTAGATGGAACAGTCTTATACTGAAAGAAGATGCCACTAGGTATTTTGCAGCTAGAGAGGACAGTCAGTGCCTGGCTTTAAAGGACAGACTGGCTCTTGTTGGAGACTAATGCAGCTGGTGACTTTAACTTAAAGCCAATGCTTATGCACCATTCTGAAAATCTTAGGGCCCTTAAGAATTATGCTAAATCTACTCTGTTTGTGCTCTATAGATGGAACACGTACTAGGTGACAGCACATCTGTTTACAACATGGTTTACTGAATATTTTAAGCCTGTGGTTGAGACCTACTGCTCAGAAAAAAAAAAAAAGATTCCTTTCAAAATATTACTGCTCAGTGACAATGCACCTGGCACCCAAAAGCTCTCATGGGGACACACAATGAGATAAATGTTGTTTTCATGAAGTTATTTTGCCTTTCAGGTCTTACTAAGAAATAGATTTCATAAGGCTATAGCTGCTATAGACAGTGATTGCTCTGATGGATCTGGGCAAAGAAAATTGAAAACTTTCTGGAAAGGATTCATTGTTCTAGATGTCATTAACAACATTTGTGATTCATACAAGGAGGTCAAAATATCAACATTAACAGGAGTTTGGAAGAAGTTGATTCCAGTCCTCATGGATGACTTTGAGGAGGTCAAGATGCCAGTGGAGGAAGTAACTGCACATGTGAAAATAGCAAGACAACTGGAATTAGAAGTGGAACCTGAAGGTGTGACTAAAGGTAAGACTTTAACAGACAAGGAGTTACATCTGGTGGATGAGCAAGGAAAGTGGTTTCTTGAGAAGGAATCTACTCCTGGTGAAGATGCTGTGAACACTGTTGAAATGACACCAAAGGATTTATAACATTACATAAGCATGGCTGATGAAGCAGCGCAGGCTTTGAGAGGATTGACTCCCATCTTGAAAGAAGTTTTTCTGTGGTTGAATTGCTATCAACCAGCATCACATGTTGCAGAGAAGAAGTCCTTCATGAAAGGGAGAGTCAATCAATGTAGCAAACTTCACTGCTGTTTTATTTTAAGAAATTACCACAGCCATTACAGGCTTCATCCTTCATCACTCTCATCAGTCTGCAGCTATCAACACTGAGGCTGTATTTTTTAATTAAGGTATGTACATTGTTTTTTAGACATAACACTGTCGCACATTTTAATAAACTACAATATAGTGTAAACATAACTTGTATATGCACTGGGAAAATAAACAAACCCAAACATGACTCACTTTATTGCAATATTTGCTTTATTAATGTGGTCTGAGACTAAACGTGCAATATTTCTGAGGTAGCCTCTGTCAGAAAAAAGCCCTGCCCCATGCTGTAGCATCCATACCTCGTGGGTTTTGTATCTTACCATACTTTGCACTGTTCAGTACAGGGAAACTGTGGGAACAGCATTGCCACAATCTGTAAGAATGGAGGGTTGTTGAGGTGCATCCTCATTTGTGCATCACTAGCTAGTGTAGAAAATCCATAGTTTCACATTTTAATATTCTGAAAGTAAAGCTTGCTGAATAGGCTTCTGGACTTCCATGTTCTTTGCCACTCTGCCATAGTCTGTCAACCTCCCATCCTTCTATAAATTCACCCACTTGTGGGGTCAGTGAAAACATTTAGCTTAAAAAAAGAAAAAAAAAAGTAAACACTTTAAGTTGCATGATTTTGTTCAGCTGGTTACTACAAACTGTTGAAAAATCCTTCTGTCATTTGGAAACCCCATTCTTAGGAGCATCTCCATGGTCAGAATCAGTCATTCTAAGACACTGCTACCGGAAGAGGTGATTTCCCCTGTGCTCTGCCTCTCAGGGCACTTTTTTATCTCTCTCTGTGTCAGCACAAGCTGTTCTACAGTTCAAAGTTAAGTTAGATCACTCTGCTGATATAACTCAATATTAACTTTTTTTTTGAGTTTTATTTTCGTCTCTTTCGAAAGCAATGTAAGAGGAAGATCTCATATCATGCTAACATGACCTAATTGGAGGTTGCCACTAAAAGGAGCAGTTCTGTTCTTCACAACCATGCCCATACATACATTTCTGCAGCTTCCCTTGAGCTGGATCTAACCATCACGCAATTTAATGTAGGCTCACCAAGAAGTATTTTTTCATCAGATCGGTGAATTTAGGATTATCTCCTTCAGTAACAGCTGGCACTCAGAGCAGGCACCAAATTGTATCTCTATTGTGTGGTTATACAACACAGCTGAACCACACTAATTGACCAAAAATGGACTGTACTGCCCCAGCTTCTACCTTTACTCCCTTACAAAGAGGTCAAAGAAGAAGAGGAGCAGCACCAATTTCAGCTCAACTTTATCCTCCAGCACTCCAGGAGTATTTCCAATACCATGCTGGTTTATTTTGCTGAATTTTGGCCCTAGTTTGTGCAGAAGGTGCACTTAGATGTGTGCAGTTCTGGGGTCCCCAGGATAAGAGGGACATGGAGCTTCTAGTGAGACTCCATCCCAGAGTGACAACGATGATTAAGGGACTGGAGCATCTATCTTATGAGAAAAGACTAAGCRAGCTGGGCCTGCTTAGCCTAGAGAAAATTGGGAGCTGCTTTGATCAATATGCATAAGTACCTGAGGGGAAAACATTGGGAGGACAGGGCCAAACTGTTCTTGGGGCCAGTGACAGGACAAGGGGCAATGGGTACAAGCTGAAACACAGGAAGAGGAACTGCTTTCCTGTGAGGGTGTCAGAGCCCTGGCACAGGCTGCCCAGAGAGGCTGTGGAGTCTCCTTCTCTGGAGATCTTCCAAACCCACCTGGATGCCGCCCTGTGCCCCGTGCTCTGGTTGTCCCTGCCGGAGCAGGGGGTTGGACTAGCTGATCTCTAGAGGTCCCTTCCAACCTTAAACATTCTGTGATTCTGTGATTCCTTCTTCAAAAATTATGTAGGAGTCTAGACTCAACTTCTAGATTCTAAATCTAGAGTTAGCTTCTCAAAAGTAGAGGAGAAATATATTTCTTTCTTGGCAGAATTTAAGATTCAGGATTTTCTCTCATCAAACATTTCTTCTGAAAATACCCAAGTGTACAGGACATGGAATCAGGGACGGATAACCGGGAAGATAACACAGCAATGTCCAAGTATGCAGGGATGAAGGCTAGCAAGACCGAGGCCCATCTCGAGATTTATATGGCAAGGGAGGTCAAGGACAACAAGTAGTTGTCATTTACATAAATCAGTATCAAAAGCAAGATGAGTAGAGGTGTGGCCTTGCTGCTGCATGGGGCAAGGGCCCTGCTGACAAAGCATACGGGAAAGGCAGTGGGAATCATGAGAGCTGCCTGAGGACATGAAGAAGGCCGATGTCCCTCAAGTCCTCCAAAAAGGCAAGGAGGAGCATCCAGTGAACTACAGGTCAGTCAGCCTGAGCTCTGTCCCTCAAAAGGCGAAGGAGCAGCTCACCCTGCATATACCACTTCCAATGCATTCCCCAAGGACAAAGCCGGCTTAACCAAGCCGATTCCCTTCTCTAGTGGCATGCCTGCCTGGCTAGATGAGGGGAGCGCAGCGCATGTTGTTTACTTCAGCTTTGGAAAGGTTTTTGACACTGTCTCTTCAGGAAGCTGGGGAGCTGCAGGTTGGAGAAATGGGCACAAGAGGATAGAGGAGGCAGCTGAGAACTGGCCAATTGGCCGAGCTCAGAGGGTTYTGCTTAGTGAAACAACTGGAGGCTTGTAGATATTCCTTGGGGGTCAATCCTGCATCCACTACTGATCAACTTCTTCATCAGGGACCTAAACAAAGGAACACGGTGCCTGCTCAGCAACTTGGCTGATGATACAAGACCAGAGGGGTGGCTGAAACATCAGAGGTCTGTGCTGTCATTCTCAGGGACCGTGACAGGCTGAGTCCTTCACCCAGGCAGAAATGAGCCCTGTACCAGCACAGGCTGGAGACTCTGCTGCTGCAGAGCAGCCCTGAAGAGAAGAACCTGGGAGTTCTGGTGGCCAACAAGTGGATCATGAACTAGCAATGTGCCCTTGTGGCCCAGAAGGCCAACAGTAATGTGGGCTGCATGAGGGAGAGCTGTCTCCTTTTAGGAAGCTGAGGAACTGCAGGATGGAGAAGTGGGCACAAAAGGATAGAGGAGGCAGCTGAGAAGTGGCCAATTGGCCAAGCTCGGAGGGTTGTGACCAGTGACATAACTGGAGGCTTGCAGATGTGTTCCTCGAGGGTCAATCCTGGATCCACTATTGCTCAACTTCATCCRTGACCTGGATGAAGGTACACAGTGTCTGTTCAGCAGCTTTGTGCAGTTGATGCCCCTCGTTCCAGTGCGGGCCAGAGAGCTGAGGACGCGGCCCGGCTGCCCCGCAGCGACTCCKGTGAGCAGCTGCCAGAGCCCAGCCACRGAGGGCTCCTCTGTGGCCCTWTGCCCTCCTCTCCACCTCCCTGGAGYGCCCTGGTCCTTCCCGACCTGAGCTGTCTCTGCCATCCTCACCGCACGTCCTTCTGCTGGGAGCACCGGCCAGAGCAGGCAGTGCAGGCACAGCCAGAGCCGGACACCACCTGCATCATCTGCCCGGAGCTGGTGGAGGAGCAAATATCAYACACCACCACGGTGTGCCCAGCGTGCAAAGGCGCCTGGTTCCACCGCGCCTGCATCCGGGTAGGAGRCCCTGCCCTCGCCCCATTTGCCCTGTTGGTGCCCAGCAGCGGCCTCCTGCTCACCCTGCTTGTGTCTGTCCTGCAGGGACAGGCAGTGAGTGCTGGCAGATCCTGCTTCTGCTGCCCCCACTGCAATAACAAGAGAAAGTTTGTCCTTGAAATGCTCAGAATGGGCATCTTCATCCCACTCAGGCAGGCTGCTGCTGCGCGGCTGCAGAGCTCATGAGACACAAGAGCCCGAGAGCTGTGCACGGCCAAGGGCTCRCGAGGCTCTGCTGGCCCCCATGGCTGCTGCACGCCTGCTCCCTGGCTTCCCATGGGCTCCCAAGTGGGACGCAGAGACAGGAGGAGAGCAGGGAGGTGCTGCATCTGCCTGCAGTGCCATGCACGAGGGCCTCAGGATGTTCCCTCTCTCCTCCCGCAGGACACAGGCCTGGGAGGAGGAAGGGGCCTGCGAGGATTTAAACGAGAGGCACAGCCGGTGCGACGCCAGCCGGTGCCTTTCCAGGCAAGGCAGGCATCAGGCGGAGGAAGGCGGCTACGTCGCTGTTGGGAAATTCTTGCAAGTTAATGGACATTTGAACGGGATGTACCTGAGATCATGCAGATCATATTGTTTGTGAAGTCCTTTATAGAGCTCTCATCGTCACGTCCCCAATGCAACGTCACCACTGCCTGTATGGCAGCGGATGCTGTAGGATGCAGAACCTCTCTGCAGGCCCTGCCAGGAGGGAGAGGGACCTCACCTCTTGTGGGGCTGGGCACAGGGAAAGGGACATACCTTTGGCACRGGGATGCAGAGCTGCGCGGGCAGGAGGGATGCCCCTGMTCGTKCTGACCAAGAGGTCTCTCAAACAGTGGAGGGTGCTGCTGGGTACAGCTGGGGCTCTTGGCCTCACTCAGGGCTCTGGGAGGGCAGGGGCACGCAGGGCACTTACTTAGCACAAGATCTCGCCCAGGCACTGCCCAGGCCCGCTGCCTTTGCCCATGGCTGCCTTCCTGGCACAAGTGTCAGCGCCAGCACCACCTTTGCTTCCACAGGCCCTGGGAGCTGCTGTTGTGCTCCTCATGTGCCTCCAAAGGAACCCATCAGCGCTGCTCGGCCTTGGTCACTGCCATTGACACCTGGGAGTGTGACGAGTGTGCTGGCCTGGGTCCCGGTGAGAGGCCAAGCGCACAGGTCCCCGCACRCTCAGGCCAGGCTGCAGGCAAGGCCTGGCCACAGGTGCTCCACAAGGGACTGGCAGAGCGTCCCTGCCCCTGCGAGGGCTGGGAACGCTGCGGCAGCCTCTCTGGCTGCGGGGCCTTGGGGCTGTGGTGCTCACCTTGCTCTTGCCCTTGCAGCCCCCAGCGCTCAGTCAGAGCTGGTCGGCACCAGCGCCAGGTCCAGAACCAGCACCTCTGCTGGCACCAGCACCACCACTGGCACCACTGCTGACATCAGCACTGCTGCCAGCACCGGCACCAGCGCCAGTGCCAGCACCACTGCTGTATCTGACACCACTGCCAGCATCAGCACCACTGCCAGCACCAGCASCACCAGCAGGACACAACAGGAGTTGGGCTCGTCCTCCTGCTCCCTGGAAGGCTGCGCTGGAGAGTCAGCTGATACCAGTAGCAGCAGTCAGCCAGAGTCAACATCATCCTCTGACTCCGAGTCGCTCAGGCCGCACAGGGCCAGACAGACAGCCAGGACACTTGAGGCTCTCACGATGGTTACAACATCCTTACATCCAGCAGAAAGGACCTTGTGGGAGGAGCTAAACACAGGCCCCAGGCAAGGGCACAAGGACCCAAAAAGGCCATGAGAATAAAAGAGGTAGCTAATGTCAGCCATGCTGGGAGGTCACACATTTCTTCCTTGGCTCCTTCCTTCTGGGCCTTTCTTGGACACTGTTTTGGGGGAYGGGATCAGCGGGGCTGTGACCTATTCCAGAAATGGCTGGGTGCAGGTGCTCTGGCCACGCRGGGTGAGACAGAGTGAAGGCTGTTGCCTGTGAGCTGAGAAGCAAGGGACGTTTGAATACATGGGTGTCTGTCTTAGGAAAACATTCGTATGGGGAGAGGGCTGCAAGGGGAGCGGCGTTTGGGGAGGCTCAGGGCTCTGCAAGAGCCATCACAGGGCAGGGACATTGGAAATTGGGGCTGTCCTGCTGTCAGCACTGCAGGGGATTAGCTGGTTTGGGGAACCAAAGCATTAGCTGAGTTGAGGATTTCCCTATCCTTTCTGCCCACAAACCTCTTTCCCAGAACACATAAAATGATTAAGCCACTGGAATGTCTCTCATAAGATAAAAGGCCTCTTTGGCCTTGAGAAGAGAAGACTCAGTGGTCACAAAGACCTGAAGGGAGCACGTAACATGCCAGCAAGGAGAGGGGTGCTTCTGGAACAGGGATATTCTTCTTGGAAACATGAAGGCAGAGCGCAGTCTTRGTTGCACTGGCCATGACATCTTGGAGTTCAAGACTGATAGATATATCAGCAGATAAAGGAAGACTAGGGAAAATGTGGCCCCGCTGCTGAATGGGATGGGTTCCTTTGTGACGGAGGATACTGAGAAGGCGCTTCTTCACTTCAGTCTTTGCTGCTAACACTAGTTCTCATGAACTACAGAGGCTAGAGAGAAGAGAGAAAAGCTGGAGAGAGTACGACTCCGCCGATTGCGCAGGATATGCATATGTGAGAGATGAGAGAAGTGGTGAGCATTATTGCCAGGCCACTCTCCATCATCTTTGAAAGGTCCTGGAGAAGAAGAGGGGTGCTGGAGGACTGGAAGAAAGCCAGTRCCACTGCAGTCTTCAAAAAGAACAAGAAAGAGGAGCTAGAAAAATACAGCCTGTCAGTCTCATCTCCATCCCTGAAAGGCTGATGGAGCAGCTCATCCTGGAGGCTCTCAGTAGGCATGTCAAGGAAAAAAATGTGATCAGCATGCACTCACCAAGGGGAAGTGGTGTTTGACCAACCTGATTGATAGCCTTCTATGATAGATTAGCTGGCTGCATGGATGAGGAGAGAGATGTGGATGTTGTCTACGTTGACTTGATCAAGGCTTTCAATACCATCTCCCATAGCATCCTCATAGGGAAGCTCAGAAAGTGTGTGTTAGATGAGTGGATAGTGAGGTAGGTTAAGACTGGATGATCTCTAGAAGTACCTTCCAACTTCAACCATTCTATGATTGTGTGACTCTCTGATTCCACTTAGTCACAATACACTGCAAATAAAATAGCCCAAGAAACAACCAACTAATAGGAAAAAAAATGTCTAAGTTTGTGGGGACTCCAGAGCGTCTCTGCCCCTGCGAGAGCTGGGGATGCTGCGGCAGCCTCTCTGGCTGCGGGGCCTTGGGGCCATGGTGCTCACCTTGCTCTTGCCCTTGCAGCCCCCAGCGATCAGTCGGAGCTGGTTGGCACCTGCACCAGTGCCAGGACCTCTGCCAGTACCACAACAACTGCCAGCACCAACACCACTGCCAGCACCAGCACCACCAGCAGGACACAACAGGAGTTGGGCTCGTCCTCCTGCTCCCTGGAAGGCTCCTCTGTAGAGT